GGTTAATATGGCCAGAGTTTTGTGGCCTGTTGGTGATCGGATCTACAGGGTTTCTCTGTAGTGCCACAAGAGATGAAAGTATTGTATTTGTAATTTTAAATTAAACAATGAATGCTAGTAAGAATTTTGGGAGGGGTATAGTATGAATGAGTTTTAGCTTCCTCAAAAGGTGAGCCCTAAATTGGTTTTCCTTTCACCCTGCTTTTATTATTTACGAAATGTGTGTTATCTTTGTTTTTGAAGGTCCACAGACATCATTAAGACTGTCTTACCTGATGCATCAGCGTTTAGTTACAATATTTGACAATTTGGAGGAACAAACATCAGGAAAATAGCTGTCATGGATGACAAAACGCATAACTGCAAGGATTGTGGCACATATTTTCACTGTGAACAACAACTCAGGTGGCATGAAAGACTACACCTGGCTGATAATCGTCATAAATGCAATGAATGTGGCAGGGTTTTTAGTCAAAAAGGACATTTAAGGCAACATTTAAGAGTACATACAGGGGAGAAACCTTTTAAATGCAACTACTGCGGAAGGTGTTTTAGCCAGGCGGGAACTCTAATGCGGCATATAAGAACACATACAGGTGAGAAGCCCTTTAAATGTGACTATTGTGGTAGGCTGTTTAATCGGGCAGAGCATCTAAGCCGACATACAAGATGGCATACAGGAGAAAGGGCTCATGAATGCAGCCAGTGTGGTAAGCGTTTTATCGAGGCAGGAGATCTGAAGAAACACTTTATATTGCATACAGGAGAGCGGCCTTTTGTATGTAAGCTGTGTGGTAAGACTTTTAATCAGGCAGGGAATCTTACGCAGCATGTACGCGTGCACACAGGAGAGAAACCCTTTGAATGTAAACATTGTGGCAAGCGCTTTAATCGCTCAGGACATATGAGGCAGCATGCAAGATTACACACAACAGAGAGGCCTTTCAAATGCAGCCCATGCGGCAAACGTTTCAATGATCCTGGACAACTAAGGCGACATCTGAGACTACATACAGGAGAGAAGCCTTTTGAATGTAGTCAGTGTGGCAAACATTTTAGACACGCAGGGACGTTAAAGCTGCATCAGAAAACACACAGGGATGTCAAGCCAAAAACAAGCGGGAAAGATGGCTTGCGCTTCAGCATCTCTGAACTTTTAACTGACAGTGAGATCAAAATAAAACAGGAACAGGGCCCCTAGCCTTAAGAATGAATCAAAAGAGGTTTTCAGAGGTGCAGGTCAACTGGTTTGATAATGTGGTAATAAAAGGAGAAAGTCACTCCAAAAAGCTCACTTTTTTGTCTTCTCCTATAGCAAGTAAACATTCAGCCTTTCCAATCACTGAAGTTTCAGCCTCTGAAGGGCTAGCTATCCTGAAGAAGCAACTTCAGAGGCCACTAGTTTGAAACTGTCTTGGTGGCCAGGCCGTGTTTTTGTGACGTCATTCTGTCTGACTCGAAATTGGCACAAAGGAAGAAAACCTGCAACTGACTTTGCATCCTTCACAAGATCAGCAAAATGTATTTTTTCCAAGCGATTATCCACTTCACCATCTTCAATGCCATCATTTTGGAGTTTGGAGCACATTTGGTTCAAAATAATATGGCTTAAGAGCAGCCATAACCCAGAGTGGAAGTTAACAGGCTTGTCAGTTCAGCCATTTGGACAAAATCTCATGGATGAAATGACTTCACAAAAACGTGGCCTGGCTGCTGAGTACTGTTCAAAACGGTGGTAATGATGTCAAAATTTTGGGCATCTTTGGAGATGAATTTCATAAGGAAAACCTGCACTTTAAGAGGCTGAAACTTCGGTGAGGGGCTAAAATTAGTGCAAGGTTTTTATTAAGCATTGACCAAAAATATAGTATTATGTTTTTTGGAGTGACCTCCTTTAAGAAATTTAAAAACCTGCATTTAGGCCAGTGTCTTTATGCTCTAAAGGAGCTCAGTCACAGTATTCTAGCCATATACAAAATAACCTTTAAATTGAAGAAAACCTGAACGTAGTAGTTTACTAGGACAGGTGGCAACCCTGAGATATCATGTCATCAACTTTTGTTTTGTTTCTTTGCTATATATAAAGCAAATAGATTCCATGTTGCCTTATACCTATTTAGTAACTGATCATAGAAGATGTCGAAATTTCCAGTAAGAAAGACATAGATTTGTCTAGATCATTATTTTTTTCTGCAAACTTGTACAATGTCTAAGACTATGAGTAAAAAATATGTTAACCTCTATGTAATAACTCGTCTAAGCAGGTGCATGTTCTAGGCTTATTGGAAAGCACCCTCAACTGTAAGAAAGTGTGCACTAAAAGCTGTATTTGTATAACATGATGGAAACACAGAACTAGCATGAGCTTTTGACGTAAAGATGGCACGAGCAAAGAGAATTTATATTTTGAGGATCAAAGTAAACAAGTTGTTTTCTTTTTTGTTGTGGTGTTTTTTAAAAGAAATAGGAAGCATTGCTCACCTGGTTTCTATTGAGTACAGTTTGAATCTACTTGATAGTTTCTATCAAGTTATTGTTAAGAAAATACCGAGGAAGGTTTGGGAGAACTCAAAAAGGCTGTGGAAATGCCTGCCTGTGGGCTGGGTTCCCACAGCATTTCTCATTCTCCTAAACTTCTACTCATGTATGTGTCTCTATAGCTTGATAGAAACATGGAACCAGGGGGCAGCTTTTTAACCCCTGAAAGGTACGACAAGCACCCCTGCCCTTTTTACATGGGAGTTCCCACCTGGGCATGGAACATGTTTTCTATTTTCTCATTTGTATAAAGATTATTCTATTGTTCTATCATTATAAATCCGTCATGCACGGGCAATAGTACATGCAGCTCACTTATAGACAATATAACTTGTTCTGTACTTGAGTTTTTCCATGCGTAATCTTTTAATAAAATGGTTATATATTCTTGATCTTCCGTTTGTGACACTTTTCTCGCCTTTCCCGCTTTTCAACCAATGGTATTCCACTCCGCTCACACGAAGCAGAAATGAAAAAATTACAGAGATCAGGGCAGGCTCACTTTCTTGGCGCCTCTTCACCAGACTCCTTTCCGCCAGATTGCTTCTCCTCTTACAGTTGTACTTCCCACCCATTCATTTATTTTAGTCTGATAAGTTTATAACAAATTTTACTTTGTTATTAGGTTAAGGTAAAACATTGTTGAGATCACAGTGACCCCAAATGTTCTCCAGCCTTCTATGGTATTAAAATCAGCCATGTCAAATTATTTTTGTTCTGTTTGTTTCATTTTTTGCCATTTATAACATGGCTGATATCAGGACTTTAAATAGCATTAAACAGATCAAACAGGAATGGAGTTGTCAGTGCGTGTTTTTCGGGGGTTGTTTTCACACCATTTTTGTCTCTTTCTCTCTGGAAGTAAACAAGTAGTATTCAGTTCGTTTATTCATCACTTGTATCTAATGAAATTCATGTTATGCAAAAATAACAAATTCATACCATTACATTGACCCCAGCAAATATGGATGGAAAATTCCCACCTTTTTTTTTCATTCTTGAACAGTCCCACTCTATCCGACCTATTTCTTTGTGCTTTGTATGGCCTTCCTGAACGAAAAATCAGCTCTCCCAGACCACTAAATCACCTAGGCTCGATTTCCAGCCGCTTTAAGAACCCGCGGAAAACGGCAGGAAATCCAGTCTATAAATCTGCTAGCCGCGTTTAGTCACGGGAGCGCATTTTGGACCTATTTTAATTTTTATTTTTGAGAGCTTAGGCAAAACGCATAGACAAGCGCATAGCCGAATATTTCTCAGTGATTATTTTTTTATAAAGACATAATGTAGAGGAGCCGGCAGTTGGCCGTTTTTTGAAATCCAGCTGAAGCACCTGTCGACCACCCTTTTGTCTTCATATTCCACGAGACCTATATAGTAGTCACGAAGAGCCTGGATCGAGCACTGTTGTAATGGTCGCTTTTAGCGTCGTTTGAAGCTTGTGAGTGTTTGGAACTCATTTTTATTGTCTATTTTGCTTCTAAAGGTAAGAGAAACCTATTTATTTCATTATTAAGTGATACAGCACTAATCTACGTGTGTGTTAGCATTGATTTTCTTTCTGTCCGATCTTAAAAAGAGAAATCAGAAACACAAATCGGAATCTTCGAATCTTCAGTGCACCGAATCTTGATTTCGAAATAGATTTAACGTCTTTGTCTTAGTCGAGCGAGGTGATCGGTTGTTTCAATGCAAATTCTGTTTGCTTTGAAGGTCATAATCTAAGTTGTGCATCCTGAATGCTTCGAAAAACTGAAGTGAAAGAAGCCTTTGTAAGCTTAAGCTTAATAAATAATTATTGAAAAAGCTACACACGCAATGCAAGTATCCATAAGTTAAGTTTTTTGATAACTAAAGCTAAATCAATGGCTTCTGATCTCTCATGTTCTAGAGGACTTAGTGGTTCCGGTAGATGCTATTTGTGTTACACTACTTGTGAAGTGCAGCATATATTACGTAATGTATCAGACACGAGATACAGCAGTATTTCATCGGGATATCCAAACACTGACAAGAGAGTTGAAAATATGACGCGCAGCGGAGTATTTTGGACGAAATTC